CCCAATACCTATTTTAGTGAGCGTGTGTGTGAGAAAGAGATCGCTGTTTTCCCTCACAGGTAATGGTAGCTTGTGAAGGAAGCAGTGTTACTTTGATGTAATAGATTTTTCAGGAATGTTAAAGAAATAACAAAAATAGGAGGAAGAAATGAATATGCTTAATTCAGTTTGTCTTATCAACATGTGAATTGATCATCAAGCTTACTGTAAGCCCTAATGCATCAATGAATGCAGTAAATGAATAAATGGTGAGCATCCTATGCAAACCAATCCTTTAAGAACAAAATTTGGGTGTGGGAATAGGGGAAAGGCAAATTTTGGATGTGGGAATAGGGGAGGAAAATAAAATAAGCTAGCATGTGCATACAGAACATACAAAATTATTGAAGGTACTAAAAATATATATTCTTCCAAATGCAACTTTGCCATTGTATTTTTGTATGTTGGAATGTAGAATATGGATTGTTTTTTCCCCTAAGATAGGAACTTCTCAAGAGATAGATAGTACTTAGGTCAGCTCTAAGAGTAAACTCAGATGGATAAATTACACATAAAACTAACACTTAACTAGAGAATTCAATTGACAAATTCAACATTCTGTAACAAATGGTGCTGAAAAACAATTATGTACAAATGGGAATGAGCTGTGTACAGTACAAATACAGTAATTCTGCTATTCTGTTGTTTGCAGTTGTCTGTATTTTAGCTGACTGTAATTAACTAACTGGTGAGCGTGGGAGGAGGCAAGGACACAAAACCTTTCCTAATTAATGAAGCATGAAAACCCTGTGAATCAGTGTGGGGAAGTATATGAACACTTACTATGTGAAGTAAGATATATTATTTAAATTCATCATTTGTCTTTCTGAATTATCACAGCTTGCCATTGTAAAATTCCAAGGGTACAATCTTCCTTCCTTCTGGGGTGCATGAACCTCCTCCTTTGCATGGTATTCAGCAAAACCCTAACTATAGGATAGAAAAACCAGGTTTACTCTTGTGAGGTTATCCAGGGACTTATGTCCTGAACATAAAGGCTACCTTTGCCAGGAAGCATAATATGTCAAAGTCCTTATGTGGCACTGTTGCTTTGTGACCAAGAAGCAAGATGGTAAGGTGACCAGCAAGTGAACAAAGAGGAGATGGGAATAGGGTTGGCCAAACTGACCATTACAGGCATGGGGAAACTTTGGCCTTCCAGTTGTTTTGGACTTCAACTCCCAGAAATTCCAGCCATCTTATTGGTTGTTAGGAATTGTGGGAGTTGAGGTCCAAAACACCTGGAGGACCAAAGTTTGCCAATGTATGGGCTATCTCCTTGCCTCTTCTGTTATACAATGGAAGAGCTGCTTTTGGCCTATATTTTAGACCCTGAAGCTCCAATGTTTGCAGGATGGTGAATTTGACTTTGACTAGCTTTAAAGGAACTCTCCAAGGTGCTGGGGATAAATTTGGAATAGGCCTGCCATGTGGAGATTACTTTTACAGTCTGGAATAAATTTACTGCCAAGTGACATGGGACTCTGGTGCCACTTCCCAGAAAGATAATATATTGCTTCCTCTTTCCTATATCATGTACCAAAGCTGACTGAAATAGCAGTTCCATTTTATATCTATAGGATGAGGAAATAACAATGGCTGAGGCAACAAACCTCAAACTAAAGCCTCAAACTAAAGATCATTTACCTGGCTCTCGCTCAGGGTCAACCTAAGTCTAAAATGACTTGAAAGCACACAACAACAACAGCAGCAGCAGCAGCAGCAGCAATCCTATCTCATAAGCCAAAAGCAGCCCACACTTCCCATTGAAATACTAATAAGTTTATATTTATTAAAAATTTTCATTTTAATTATTGTATTGTTTTATGTGTTTTTGCTCTATAAATAAGACATGTGCAGTTTGCATAGGAATTCATTCATGTTTTTTCAAATTATATTCTGGCCCTCCAGCAGTTTGAGGGACTTTGACCTGGCCCTCTGTTTAAGAAGTTTGTGGATCCCTGGCCTAGAATAATCAAGTGAAGATTACCACATCTCTCTTTGAAATTTTAATGCAGGGGAGGTACTAACACAGCCTCTTTGATATGTAAAGCTATTTTTCATGAGATAATATAGATTTCAATCTACTTCTTGATATACTCTGGAAAATGTGGACTTAAATTTGTGAAAGTTCGTGCTAAAATGAACCAGTCCCAAAAACTGAGCTACATTTCCTCTATTCTGCTCTCCTTGAAAGCTAGAAGAAGCACCGCTGTTTCCTTAGAAACAGTTATTTCTTTTGACATCCTCAAGAATGGGGAAGCAACATGATCCCCAGTATTTTGGATTACAACCTCTACAAGTCCCTAACAGCATGGAAAGGGCTAAACACATAGGTTCTATGTTGGCTTACCCATGCCCTTGAGCAGGCTTGTACAACCTGTGGTCCTCCAATGATCAGGAAAATTCTGGAACCTGAAGTTCAAACCACCTGAAGGGCCACACCACAGGTTGTGTGGGCCTGCCCTTGAGTATGTACAGCCTAGCTTGGATCTGTGATGTCCCACCGGGTGTATTGTATTGTTATATGCTTTGAGGACTCTAGATTGTCAAACTGAGAGTGGCGTCACCACCCTCTCAGCTTGCCAGACATCTTGGAGAACACAGAAAAGGCACAAACAGTGTCACAAAAATTCCATGGATGCACAAAATAGAGTGCAGCATCCATTAAGGTTGTGCACAGATCTGTTTTTCAAAACAGACTCTGGTTGTTCCAGCAGTTCTTTTTTGGCCAGCCATAACAGCACAGGCTCCACTACCATTTTTTTCTCAGCCACAACAGATCACATGGCTGCTGAAAATGACTGCTTTTGGTTTCTTTCAGCTGCAATGGGGAGGCAGCTGTGAGCATCTTTTAGCTAAGCTGGGCTTCCATTTTTCTGTTGTGAGCAGGCTTCTGAGAGAGGCAGATCGGTGATCTAAATTTTTGATGCCGCTCACAGCTTTGCATGGCTTGGCTTGCTTTTTGACTCAAATAGCAACAAATAAACAGTTTACTTTCTACACACTTAAGAAACTGACACCAGTGGCACCCTTCACATGAGGCAAGCCTCAAATGTGGAGAAGAGGTGACTTTTCTTAAGCCACCTTAAAATGAGGAGGTAATTTATGGCTTTAATCCAGGTCTTATCGAAGGATATAAGGAGAAACGATCCCAGAAAGCGTAGTTTCTTAAATCTGATGCCTTTAAATCAGGTCTTATTGAAGAATATAAGGAGAAACGATTCCAGAGAGTAGTTTCTTAAGCCTGATCCTTTTTATCCAGGTCTTATTGAAGGATATAAGGAGAAATGATAATAGAAAGGGTAGTTCTTAAATCTGTCTTTAATCCAGGTCTTATTGAAGGATATAAGGAGAAAGGATTCCAGAAAGGGTCGTTTCTTAAATCTGATGCCTTTAATCCATGTCTTATTGAAGGATATAAGGAGAAACGATAACAGAAAGGGTGGTTTTTTAAGACTTATGTCCTAAAAATGACAGAAAGAGAAGCCTCGTAAATTCCCCATTGCTGCCAATGAGTAAGATCTTCCTGGATCTTTTGCTTGCCAGATCAAAAAATAGATTTTTTCCCCAAACAAATTTGGGAGGCTCCTGAAAAACAGATCTGGAATTGCACACCCCTAGAAATCCATCCCTGCCCTGGAGTTTTGGCAGAAGATAATGCATTTGTTCAGCAATTTTCCAACCAATTTTTGGAACTAAATCTAATTGCTTGTCCAGTCTACATGTTTCCTTCCCTCATGTAAGAAAGTTAGATGCACCCACTTTTTCTTGCTGTGTATACCAAATCAGCTCATGATTTCAGATATCCAGAATGAAATCCAGGCCAGAAAAAACAGGGAGCAATCAAGTAACAGATCCATCAAAAGGATCTCTTGTCAGGCATCATGGATTACTACTACATTGTATCTGAGGTCAGAAGATTCCAATGGCTTGGGTTCACACTATCCTTAAAATTTATAGGCAATCCCCAGGTTATGAGCTAGATTGGTTCTGTAGGTTTGTTCTTAAGTTGAATTTGTATGTAAGTCGGAACAGGTAAGTTTTTGAAGTGTAACTCCAGCCATTTCTTTTCAGTTTTGCATAGTTTAGGGAAGGGTTAACAACACCCTTGTAAGGTTTGTTGCTTCCTGTGCCCCTGTTCAGAAGATCTCGTCTGGTTTTCTGTCCCTGTTACAATTGGATTTTTTAAATTTGGAGGTTGTCGTGGAAACAAGGATTGCTTCTAAAGCCAGGGAGTGAATTCCCCTTCCTAGGAGTTGATTTCTTCTCACTTCCTGTTGTCTCACCCTCGATGCGGATGTTTGCAACTCGGGGGACTGCCTGTATCTCTGTTTCACTCTGATGCCTCTCCTAAATACACCATTTGACTGAGCTGCATGTTTCCAAGTGCAAGTGAAATCTTCGCTTGTACAAAAATGGAAGCTGAAATTGAGAAAGGCATCCTTTCAAACCCAGCGTGGACCATCCTGTGAAGAAACAAGACACTCTAAACCTTCAGTCTCTCTGTGTGTGTGTCTCTGTCTCTCTCAAGTTCAGTATTCCTTCTGCCCATTGAGGGCTTTGCAAGAGGATCCTGTGGTCCTGCCAGCTGGAAAGGAAAGAAAAGGGGTCACTCAACCAGGAAAGCCGGGTGTGATTTGTTGAGTCTCCTAGGGGGGCTTCTTCTCCCTCTCTTCCGATGCCTTGGCAACACAGTGCCGCCGGTTATACCTCCTCTAGTATATATTTCCACCAGTGCAAAAGAAGGAGCATCATAACAACAACCAAAAAGAGAGAAGGAAAGAGATGTGGCAAGGAAGGAAGGGGGGTAACTGGGGGGTAAAGAGAGCCAATGCAATGCTTTTTTTTTTTTTTTGGCTTCCAGCGAAGCGAGCATTGCTGAGGAATGTCAATTTGATGCCTCACACTGCCATCTACCGGCGGCAGCGAGGAACTGCCTCTCCTCCCTCCTCCCTCCCTCCCTCCCTCCAATCCAGCCCTTCCACTGTGACTGGGGCCGCTTTGCCAGAACAGCAGGTCCATACAGAGCGAGTGGCTCAGCCCGCCTTTCCTCCCCTCCCCTCCCCCTCTTTCCTCTCTCTCTCTCTCTCTCTCTGTGCTGTGGAAAAGCGTGCCCTTCCCGGCCTCTTCCTCTCCCTTCCTCGGCGAAACAGAGCCCAGTGATGGGCTGGGTCTCCTCCTCCTCCTCCTCTTCCTCCTTTCCCTCCCTTTCTCCTGCTTGGATGCTGGAAGCCGGGAGGAGCGGTGGCACTGGCTCCTAGGCTGCGGGTTTGCTTTGGAAGAAGAGGGTTCGGATGGTGGAAGGGGGCTGAAGAGGGATGCTGCTGAAAAGCCTGGCGCTTCTGGAGCCCCGAGCCCAGGCAGCTGGAAGAGGAGGAGGAGGAGGAGGAGAGGAAGAGGAGAGGAAGAAGAGGAAGAGGACGGAGGCTCCCTCGCGCCCGGCTGGCCAGCCCTACCATGCCCAGAGCGCGCGGGAAGAGGAAGAAGAGGAGGCTTAAAGGGGCGGCGGAGGAGGAAGAGGAAGAGGCCTCCGCCTGGGGCGCTGGGAAGGAATGGTGTGAGGCCGGAGGAGGAAGGCGACGAGGAGGAGGAGGAGGAGGAGGGAAGCAACGGGAAGCAGACAGGGGCCAAGGGGAAACGGCGCCTCCAAACTGCTGCTACTGCTGAGGAGAAAGTTGACCTCTTCCATGGAAAGCGTGAGTACCAGCCAAGGGAGCTGCGTCGGTTATTGTGTGGGGGGCGGACTTGTGGCAGCTGCCTGTCCTGTTGACTCCGGGCGGGAAGGATGGCGCGCGCGCACACACATATACACACTAACACCCCCCCCCCCCCCCCGCATCATCCCGTCTCATCACTCTTCCTCCTCAGTGATTTTTTCAGGGAAATAATCCCCCCCCCCCCTTGTTATTACAAATGGGTTGCTCCAAAGCCTGGAAGACCTTGAAAGCCGAACCACTGGGAGGAGGGGGGGGTGGAGAGGGTACGAGTCTCTTCTTCCCAGCGTTGCCCTAAGTCCCAAGGCAACTTGACAGCAGAGAGCCACCAACGCGGCGCTGTGCAGTGTTTCATGTCTAGGCGGGAGACTGGAGAGAGTGTCTTCCCTGCCTGGAAGCAGGCGCGCGCGCACACACACGCGCGCGCCGCCGCAGCGCCCTTCGCAGAGCCCCCCACTCCTTGGCCAACCCTTGCCTTTGGGTTTCATATTTGGAGGCTCCTTCCTTCCCCAGTCCTTAGTCACAGGCACAGACTCTCCTCCTGTCTCTCTCCCTGCTCTCGACCAGACGGATCCCCCTCTCCTGTCTCCTTCCCTCTTTCAAAGGCTGGCTCCTTTTGGCCCCTCTTGCTTTTCCCTTCTTATCTCAGCCCCCCTTCTGACCCAGATCCCTTCCACGCAGCTCTTCACTCCCCTCTTTCTCTCGGATCTCTGCTGCTCTTTCTTCCTTCTGTCTCTCACTCCTCTCTCTCTATGTTCACACGCACACACACGGGTCTTCACTCCCCTCTTTCTTTCGGATCTCTACTGCTCTTCCTCTCTCATTCCCTCTCTCTCTCCCTCCCTCCCTCCCTCTCTCTCTCTATGTACACACACACCAGGTCTCTCCCTTTCTATAGTCTTTGGAGGGACCACCGCCTCTTGGCTGGTGGAGCATGCCATAGAAGCACCTGTCTCCTTCCTACATACATCTTATCCCTCCTCCCTCTCCCCGAAGGGCTTCATTCCTCCCCCCCTTTTTTTCCAATCCTCCTCTTCGGCCCGCCCCTCCTTTCCTTCTCCTTCCCTCTCTTCCCACTCCCTCTCCTGCCCCCGCTCCCCTTTTCGCGGTTGTGTGTGTGTGGTTTGGGTTGCTGTGAGTTTTCCGGGCTGTCTGGCCACGTTCCAGAAGCGTTCTCTCCTGACGTTTCGCCCACATCTATGGCAGGTATCCTCAGAGGTTGTAAGGTGTATGTGGTTTATTTTGGGGGTGGGGTGGGAGGGGGGACGTGCAAGGTTGTGTGTGTGTGCGTGTGTGTGCGCGCGCGCCAAGCAGGCAGCCTAGCCTTTCCCTGCATCCTTTCCCCTCCGCCTTCCTCCTTGCCTTCAGCCTGGGCGGACTGCAACAAACCCTTTCCTGCCCCCTCTAGAAAGGACCTTCCCCTCCAGAAATAACCCTTCAAAAGACACTACCCCCCCCCCCTTTGCAAGCGGTGCAACCCCTGAGGCGAGATGATCAGGCCCCGGGGATGTCAGCCTCAGTAAGTAGCAAGGCGGGAGGATTGGGGGGCTGAAGGGGGGGGGGGAGGAGGAGGAGGAGGAGAGCGTTTTCCTCTGCCCCACCTTTCTCTTGGCTCCCCTCCCTCTCCCCCTCCCTCTCCCCTCCCTCCCCTTTTTTGGCTGCTTTAGTGCGGCAATTTGAACGTGGGAGAGGGGGGTTTATCCGGGAGGGATGAACCCGACCCTGAGGTGTGTGGATGGATGCCCCCCCAGGCACGTTGGGGGGCTCTGCTTCTCTCCCCCTCGTTGCCACCCAATTCCAGGGTCTCTGGGTGCCACTTTCAACTTTATTTGCCTCCCTTTGTGCCCTCTCCCCACCCTGCCACAGGCCCCTCTTGCCAGCCTTGCTCTCAGCCTTCTCTGAAATAAAGCTTTCTTTAAAAAACCAGAGCAAATACACACACACACACACACATCATTTTGCAATCTGTCAAGTTTCTATGAAAGGGACACACAGCCCGTCCGTAGAGGAATAGGCTCGGATGGGCATTGTGTTCAAATCGGATGAAAGTAGATGTCTCCCTCATTTCTTCTTTCCGCCACATCGTTCTATTATTATTATTATTATTATTATTATTAATAATAATAATAATAATAATAATAATAATAAGCTTAAACGATATGAGGATTTAAAGATCGAATTGCCAAGACTCTGGCACGAGCCAGCCAAGGTGGTACCAGTGGTGATCGGCACACTGGGTGCAGTGCTTAAAGACCCTGGCCTGCACTTAAAAACAATATGCGCTGACAAAATTACCATCTGTCAGCTGCAAAAGGCCACCCTACTTGGATCTGCACTCATCATTCGCCCATACATCACACCGTCCTAGACACTTGGGAAGTGATCGAGGTGTGATCCAATGCAAAAGCCAACATAGTGATCTTGTTTGCTGTGCATTAATCTTGTTCTGTATCAAATAATAATAATAATAATAATAATAATAATAATAATAATAATAACAATCTTACACGATATGAGGATTTATAGAACTAACTGCCAACACTTTGGCACAAGCCAGTCAAGGTGGTCTCAGTGGTGATTGGCACACTGGGTGCAGTGCCTAAAGACCTTGGCCTGGACTTAAAAACAATCCGCGCTGATAAAATTACCACCTGTCAGCTGCAAAAGGCCACCCTACTTGGAACTGCACTCATTATTAATAATAATAAGCTTACACGATATGAGGATTTAAAGATTGAACTGCCAAGAAATGAGGATTTACACAATATGAGGATTTATATCGATATGAGGATTTAAAGATTGAACTGGCACAAGCCAGTAAAGTGGTGATCGGCACACTGGGTGCAGTGCCTAAAGACCTTGGCCTGGACTAAAAAACAATCCGCACTGAGAGATTACCATCTGTCAGCTGCAAAAGGCCACCTTACTGGGATCTGCACGCATTATTTGCCCATACATCACACAGTCCTAGACACCTAGGAAATGTCTGACGTGTGATCCGATACAAAAGCCAGCATAGTGATCTTATTCGCTGTGTACTGATCTTGTTGTATATAATAATAATAATAATAATAATAATAATAATAATAATAATAATAATAATAATGAGGGTTTTGTAGGTTTTTTCGGGCTGTATGGCCATATTCTAGAACCCTTCCCTCCTGACGTTTCGCCTGCGTCTATGGCAGGCATCCTCAGAGGTGCATAGATGCAGGCGAAACGTCAGGAGGGAATGCTTCTAGAACATGGCCAAACAGCCCGAAAAACCTACAAGAACCCAGTGGTTTCAGCCCTGAAAGCCTTGGACAATACAATAATAATATGATTTTGCTGAGACTGGTCCCTAGGTGAGAAAAGGGACTCCTACTCAAACCTGTCTGGCTTTTGCTGCAAAACGCTCGAGCGCCAGACACGGGCTCCCAACCTCCGAGCCATTCCCACTCATGGCTTCGGGCTGGGCGACTTCTTAATCCGCGTCTCCCTCTCCCGCCACCACGGTTCCCTTCCCTTCCGCGATTGCTTTCAGCCAAGTCAAAGGGACCTTTAAGGGAGTCAGGACGGAAACAGGAAAAGGGAAGGAGGGGGGAATGGAGGGGATCGGGTTTGGGTTTCCGCCTTGACACTCAGCTCCGTCCACGGCGGGTTTCAGCGGGTGGACCGAGGGTATTCCCCCATCCGCTCTCTGGGAGGGAGGGAAGGAGGGATGGTTGGTGCCGAGGAGCCAGAACAGTCGGGGACGAAAGCAAGTCCGGAGCTCCCGCACTTGGCGGTGATGTGATTCCTCTCTCTCGGAAAGCCACTGGGCTCTCACCCCATGGCCATGAGGCGAGTTTCTCCCAAGCGTGGGGGGAGCTGCTGTGCTAGGGCTGCGATGGCTGGGGCTGCAGGGACAATCCTCAGGTTCGGCGTGTGTGCCAAGTTCCGGGTGAGTGGCTCAAAGGACGGCGCTTTCCCCTGTATGCGAGGGAGGGAGTGTGTGCGCCCGTTGTGCATTCTCGCCTCTTGCCTGGTGAAAATAGCCCATTGACGAGCCCGTCAGTCCAGAAGGCGAGCACAGCTGATGACTTCTTTAAGAAGAGCCTGATTAAAAAAAAGGATTCATAATGACTCCTTCAGTGACCAGCCTTGCCGTTTGGACAAAGAAGGGGGCAAGAATCGCATCCTCAGAGATGGGCTGTGGGTTGAATGACTTGGCTGGCAAATTCCAGTACTTCTGGTATTATTATTATTATTATTATTATTATTATTATTATTATTATTATTATTATTATTTGGTGATTGCTTTTTTTTTTGGCATCAGCTTTGGAAATCAGGCAGCTGGAAAATTCGCCCTTTTCAGGGCTTGGAATTGTTGCACTGTGTGTGTGTGAAGAGAAGAGGAATTGGCACAAAGATAAATAATATCGAGGCTATATCAAATGATACTCTCTTTGTAGACCCCTGCAATGGCATGTCAAGGAATGGTTTAAAAAAATCACCTACCACCTATCAGGAGAGCAGCATGCTGTGGCAAAAATGGGGGAAGACCTTCTTTGCAGGTCGCTGTTCATTCCTAAGGTTCTGAAAAAAGGAAAAAGAAGGAGCGGGACTGTGTGGGTAACCGGTGAGGCTGAAAACCTTGTAAAATGGTGTTTCTGTTTGCTGAAATTACAGCCAAGTAACTAAACTGACAGCCATTTTCTGTATATTTATGGACAGGTTGTGTGTGTGTGTGTGTATCTGTCAGCGTAGAGCGGGGAGAGAGAAAGCCCACTGAAATAATAAAGGAAAGAGATTGAAATACAATCTTGGGCTTCTGAATAGAAATGGTTTGGATGTGAGAACTTATCAGCCACAGAGGAGCATGTTCTTCCAAACCAAACCACCAAGGCACAACTGTTATTTAATGACAGTTACGTGAGGATCGTTGCATCCAAACTCTTGGCAACCCTTAGGAAATCCAATTGCATTGAGCATGCCTTTTCCCTTCTGTTTTAACTCCTCTAGCATTGTTATGATTAGCCTTCGTTCCTCACACTTCTGTCATGATGGTGTTTGTGTTTCTCTTCTGGCTCTCTACAGGAGATAACATGTATGCTTGCTGCTCTACGGTGACTCTGGAGCAGGATCTCAACAGGAAAATGCATATCTGGATGGTGCAAACCATAGCCTTTGCTTTAACATCTCTAGTCCTGGCGTGGGCAGAGAGCATCGAGTATTATGGGGAGATCTGTGACAACAAATGCCCTTGTGAGGAAAAGGATGGCATCTTAACGGTGAGCTGTGAGAACCGAGGGATCATCAACCTCTCTGAGATTAGCCCTCCAAAATTCTCCATCTACCATCTCCTGCTGTCTGGAAATCTCCTCAATAGACTTTATCCCAACCAATTTGTCAATTACACTGGGGCCTCAATTTTGCATCTGGGTGGTAATGACATCCAGGACATTGAAACAGGAGCCTTTCACGGACTGAGAGGCTTAAGGAGGTTGCATTTGAACAACAACAAGCTGGAGGCACTGAGGGATGACACTTTTGTGGGCCTGGAGAGCTTAGAGTACCTCCAAGTTGATTACAATTACATCAGTGTTATTGAACCCAACACTTTCAGCAAGCTGCACCTCCTGCAAGTACTGATTTTGAATGACAACCTCCTCTCTTCATTGCCTAACAATCTCTTTCGATTTGTGCCCTTGACACACCTCGATCTGAGGGGGAACCGGTTGAAGCTACTCCCTTATCTGGGCCTCCTGCAGCACATGGATAAGGTTGTGGAGTTGCAGCTGGAGGAGAACCCATGGAACTGCTCCTGTGAATTGATAGCTCTAAAGGATTGGTTGGACAGTATCTCCTATTCAGCCTTGGTAGGGGATGTGGTTTGTGAAACCCCTTTCCGTTTGCATGGGAGGGATTTGGATGAAGTTTCCAAGCAGGAGCTTTGCCCAAGGAGACTCATTTCAGATTATGAGATGAGGCCACAGACACCACTTAGCACCACAGGGTACTTTCATACCACACCAGCCTCTGTAAATTCAGTGGCTACATCTTCCTCGGCTGTTTACAAATCACCTTTAAAGCCCAAGGGGACTCGCCAGCCCAACAAGTCTAGGGTGCGTCCCACCTCCCGTTTGCCCTCCAAGGATTTGGGATACAGCAATTATGGACCCAGCATTGCTTACCAGACCAAATCCCCGGTGCCTTTGGAGTGTCCTACAGCTTGCACTTGCAACCTTCAAATCTCTGATTTGGGCCTCAATGTCAACTGCCAAGAGAGGAAGATTGAGAGTATCTCAGAACTTCAACCCAAGCCGTACAACCCTAAGAAAATGTATTTGACTGAGAATTACATTGCTCTCGTGCGCAGGTCAGATTTCCTGGATGCTACCGGGCTGGATTTGCTCCACCTGGGCAATAACCGTATCTCAGTTATTCAGGACAGGGCCTTTGGGGATCTTACTAACTTGAGGAGGCTGTATCTGAATGGAAACCGTATTGAGAAACTGAACCGGGAAATTTTTTATGGGCTTCAGAGTTTGCAGTACCTCTTTCTGCAATATAATGTGATCCGGGAGATCGAACCAGGCACTTTTGATCCTGTGCCCAATTTACAGCTCTTGTTTCTCAACAACAATCTTTTGAGATCATTACCTGTGGGCATTTTTTCTGGCTTAACTCTATACAGGTTGAACCTGAGGAGCAACCATTTCTCCTACCTTCCGGTTAGTGGGGTGCTTGACCAGCTGAAATCCCTGCTTCAGATAGATCTTCATGAGAATCCATGGGATTGTACATGTGATGTTGTGGGCATGAAGTTATGGCTTGAACAACTCAATACAGGAGTCCTTGTAGATCAGGTAATCTGTGAATCCCCTAAGAAATTTGCTGAGAATTACATGAGGAACATCAAAGCAGAGCTGCTATGTCCAGACTACTCTGACATCATTGTTTCCACACCCACACCATCCTCCATGCAGGGACCAGCAAGGACCACCCCCTTCTCGGGGCAGTTCAATAGCACCTTGGAGGAAGATGACTCAGCATCACCTTCTGGTGGCTCTTCTTCCTCCTCTTCTTCCACGGTGCCTTTGTCGGTGCTTATCCTCAGCTTGCTTCTGGTATTTATCATGTCTGTATTTGTGGCTGCAGGCCTCTTTGTGTTGGTTATGAAGCGCAGGAAGAAGGTTCAAGGAGACCATGCCAGCACCAACAACTCAGATGTCAGTTCCTTCAACATGCAGTACAGTGTCTACACTGGTGGGGGAGCTCCCCATTCTCACCCCCATGCCCATCACCAGCAGCACCAACAGCATCTTCACCGTGGAGGAGGAGGAGGTGGCCCAGCTTTGCCTAAGGTGAAAACCCCTGCAGGACACGTCTATGAGTACATCCCTCACCCTTTAGGCCACATGTGCAAGAACCCAATCTACCGCTCTAGAGAGGGCAATGCAGGTGAGGATTACAAAGATCTTCATGAACTCAAGGTGACCTACAGCAATCATCACCTTCAGCCCCAGCCCCCACCACCCCCACCGGCCTTGGGGCAACCTCCAGCAGTTCCAGGGGTCCAAGAGGAGACCCTACGGAGCCCCACGTACAGTGTGAGCACCATTGATCCTCGAGATGAGTTGCTTTCCCCTGTTCAGGATGCTGATTGTTTTTACAGGGGCATTTTGGAGCCCGACAAACATCCTTCTTCCACCTTGGGGGGTAGTGCCCTTCCTGAGTACCCTAAATTCCCCCCTACTGCCTACACCTACTCCCCTAACTATGACCTTAGACGCCCCCCTCATCCCTATTTGCATCCCGGCCCAGGGGACAGTAGGCTACGGGAGACAGTGCTCTATACACCCCCAAGCACTGTATTTGTAGAGCCTAACAGGAACGAATACCTGGAGCTTAAAGCAAAGCTAAATGCAGAGCCGGACTACCTCGAAGTGTTGGAAAAACAGACCACATTCAGTCAGTTCTGAGACATCCTTTCCTCTCATCCTTCTCTCCTAGAGCATTTGTATTTAATAACCACACACAAAGAAACACAATGTTGATCTCCTCCCCTCCACCTCTTTTTGCCTCCCCAAACTGCCTTTGCTTCATTTTGTTGGAAGGTGAAGTGCCTTGGCACAAGAATTTCCAGCTTCGGGAAACCTAGCAAAAGGGTGTGCTGATTCCATAGAGATTCTCTTTCTCTCTTTTCATTCTGCTTTTCTTCTCTCCTTTTTTCTCACTTTCTCCCCCTTTCTCCCCCCCTCTTATTCTCTCTTCTATAGCCAGCAGGAACCAATTGATTGTGTGAACTAGGCACAGAATTCTCTCACCCTTTTGTGGTGTGTGTTGTGCTAGGGGAGGCATTGAGGTGTGGGCAAAAGACAAAGAAAACAAGGTGGCCCTGTGGCTGGATGTCAAGTCATAGGAATCACTTTATCCCTTTATGTTATGTTGGATATGCACAGCTGACCATCTTGGCTTTGTTTGCTTTCCCTCTACGCCACCTTGGTGGAAAAGTGCAGGGCACCAAATTCCATTTTAGCCATGGATCAGTCTAAGTGGCTTTTGGGGAGGGGAGGGGGGCAAGATTAGCACACCCTGACTTTAATACAAGGTTGTTTGTTCTTTCCCTTTCCTTTTTTAAGAAAAAGAAAAAAAGAAAAGAAAACAAAGGATGTATTTGTATGTTTCTGGACTTTTGAATTAAAAATCAACATTATGATCTTTCAAAGGATCATCATAGATGTGGACAAATCAATAAAGAGTTCAGAGATATATGATCCATAATTGATTAGTAAAAATAACTTATTGAAATATATACAAAACATATTTTATTGTAGCTCCTATTTTTATATACACAATAGCATTTCTTTCACTTTTAGGATCCAGTTCTCCTAAACAGAAGAGATTGTAAGGCCACCTCATGCAATATGAGGTATTTTGTTCTTTAGATTTAGACCTAAAATGTGACAAAACAGATGTTTAAAATATGTATCATGCAACCATACTGGAAACATTAAGCAAGGAGTGACACTGATTTTCTGTTGAATGTACATTTGGTAGCATACATCACTTGGTTGTCTGAGTAAACATCCTGAAAATACTTAAGATGTTATCCTGCAAACAGATAAATTTTCACTCGGGATTTAAGTTTCATAACTGAGCACAGAATTGAAGAGTTGTGCGTATGTGTAAGCTTTGTGGAAGGTTGTGCACATTTCTGTGTTGGATAGAGCAATGTTCCTGTTCAGCCATTGCACCAAAAGCCTCTCCCCAACCTGCAGGGCAGATGATCTTTCCAGATGTGGGCCATAGGTTGTGATTTGTTCCAAAGCATTCAGATGCATTTCTAGGTCTCTTTCCAATGCTTTAACCATCACTGGAGAATGTCAAGAATCAATGAAATTGTTAATAACCAAAATGACCAAAACCTAACAGACAATCCAAGGCAAATATAAAATTAAAAAGTGGGTCAGGGAGAAAAAAGAAGCATAAGATATATTTTGTTGTTGCTACTGTTCATGAATTATTAATCTAAGGAGCTTTCTGCCAGGGAGACTAATTGGACTAATTAGTGAGGGACATGCAGAAAGTGTATGTCTAAGCAGGGGTGGTGGAGTTGGTTTATAGTCATACGTCAGCCCCAATATCTCAGTTTGATGACTTCTGTAGCCAATTTTGGATTGTTCAATCAACTAGAATTGTACATATCCATGTTTGTACTGCCACCCACAAAGGCCAAATGACAGACAGTGCAGGTCTATGTAAGAGATATAATTTCTTAAGCCCTTTAGTTAGCTAGCATGGGCCAAGAGATCCATTAACCACGGCATCACTGTAAGATGGGACAGTTTGTGGTCTCATATGTATCCCAGCACATGTATTTTTTTAAATAGTTTATGAATAAACACTTGATAACAATTTCAAATGGAAGGAAATGAAGTAGTCTTTATGTGAAGTTCAGTGCTTTTCTCCTAGTACCATATGTTGTTCTTGATCAAAATTCTGTTTCCCCCACCTCTTCTTAGAAAGATCACAGATGCAGTATCATTAAGCTCTTGATGATGCTTTTCTTTAAGGTGTTTTACAAAGTGGCTCTGCTTATCCATTCCAATGGTACATCACCCACAACAGACGGTTGTAGACAGGTGTGATGTATGGCATTCGGCTTCACCTTTAACTTTTGTTTCCTTTCTGTAGTTTTCATTTTATATACATGAGCTTGGGGTAAGTGATATTTTTTTATGTGGATTTTTAACCTTGTATCATTTCCAGACTTTTTTACTTTGAGAAAGGATAAATTAAATGGCTTGTTGGATACATTTCCAGAAAGAAAGGGGGTGGGGGATCAAGTCTCTATCTGGCTTTTCTTACATATGCAAATCATTTCTTAAAAATATAAGGACCACGTATGTATTTCTTTTGCATTTTCAGATGAAATTTTTCCTCTTTCTCAGTCCCACCCCGTTTTTCACATCAATACAAATAAACCATGTTATTGAGGTATATTTTGGAGAATGAGTTTGATTTTAAATACAGTGTTGGAAATGCTTTGTTTGTTCTTCATATAAATTAGAAGAGGGTTAAAATTCAGTTAAAAGAATTAAAATAAGGAAAACATGGAACTCCAGTATTATGGAGTTTGGCATTGACATTAATTAACAGCAAGCGTTAGTTAAAAATCATATGAAAACTATATGTTGGTTGAACGGCGAAAGATAACAGTATAAAGATAACTGCATCTTAGACATTAAGAGTTGTGTATTGGTTTAAGATGTGTCAAATGCCAGCTGTGTGGTCTGTATTTTTGATTTTGTTTCATTGTCTGAACTTAATAATTGAAAATGTAACATTAGCACAATCTGGGAAAGGGATATTTTTGGTAAATATTATGGTGTTTGTGTGCTTTTCAAAATACTGATTTAATCATGTGCTTAAGCTTATCTATAATATGTATTCAAATCACAATTATGAGAAGATAAGAGTGCCTTCAAGATTTAGTTGTAACTTTTGCAATGACTTCAACCATTTTGGGGGTTGCTTCCTCTTTCTGTTTGGGAGGACTCCTACCTCCCTAATAGCTAGTCATATGAAGGGTAAAAATTCATGTCAAGCATCTTTCCTCAATGCTGCCTATCATGTAGTTCTTAACAGCTAAGGCTTACCAGGAAAAACATGTATTTATCATATTTATAGTTTGGTCCCATCACATGGGGGCTCACTGACTCACCATGAGTCAGTGCGTATTATAATTGTCTAAGAGTACTAAATGTCAGTAGGAAGGAAGTTCACGTGTGATGTGAATGTTACCATATAAATTGCTTGTGAACAGGTTTTTTGAATCTGTCTAGATCTTTTAACCAGAGCCATGAATGTGTCACTGAGATAACCACTGTCAGGCACTGTGAGGGTAATCTCAACAGATCCAGATTACAGAATGTTTCCTTATGCACTCAAGGTTTGTGGAATATTTTAAGAAAGAGTGGGGGTATATTCCCCCTTAGGACTGGATTCTTGGCTGCAAAAACCTATAATGGAAATGATCACTCTGTCAGCCCCAAATTCATGTTAGTGCAGAGGGAAGAAAGAATTCTGCCTACCAGTCCTCAAATACTGTGCCAGGGTGGGAAAAGTCTTGTTCTTCAGATGTTGTACTACAACTTCCATTGAACCATAGGTAATGTTGAGGAGCACTATATATTCACCGTCTTTGTTCAATACATTCAGAGTAATCTGAGAGCAGGTTTATTCATGAACAACTACATCTGTGTAGCTTTCCATATGGTTATAAACCCAGCAGGCTTCCTCATTAGGTGGGCAAGCAAGTGCAGATGGCACAGAATGTCATATGGACTATGTGAATGCATTCCCATGTACTCCTACACATGTACTGTGTACAGAAATGAAGGATCAAATGCACCGGATGACATGCAACACGAGTTAACTTGTAGAGACACACATCTCCTAATGTGACTGTAACAGATTGGAATGTCCTTACCCCAGGGCCACAATATATGGCAGCTCCATCTGAAACAGATTGGTAGTTATTTGCTTTGCTACTATTGTACTTTCATGCCAGAAAAAGCAATTGCCTTCTATACTACTGTAACTTTGCTAGACTTAGGTACTATGTAACTTTACTTTGATGGGTGAGCCAGCTGAAGCTCTAATGAAGGAAGCAAAATGTTTTGGTTGGTCTTATCCTATCCCTACTCTCACCCCATTAGCCCAGCTGGTGGCCCATTATATATCAAGTGCTTCATGTCACAGTGCTTGGCTCAGAAGCAAATTATGTCCAGTCTTTCCTTAATTCAATATATTATGAAGAGCATATAGTTTGTATGACATTCTGTTGTGATGAATTTATTCTATGTGTGAGTAAATGTGTAATTATTACAAGAAAGGAATAATAGACCTACATAAAATGGGTGTATATATTACAAAGAATTGTCTTATATTGGTAACTTTCCTCTTGGTATCTGCTGAGATTTGGTTCTAGGACCACTACAGATACCACAATCTGTACAAGTTCAAGCCCCATTGCATTCAGTGACATAATAAAATGCTGTCCTTTATATCAAATAGCAAAAACAAGATTTGCATCCTCTCTCTCTATATATATATACTAGCTGTAAGGAATTGTGGGAGTTGAAGTCCAAATCAACCAGAAGGCTGAAGTTAGCCTATGCCTGGTACAGCTGAATCTTACTTCAACACCAGTCATCCAGACTATATTTTATTTATTCATTTATTAGATGTGCATTCAGACTCAAGTTGACTTATCTCTACTCAAAAGATAAAGATAAGAATACAAAATGTATAATAGTAAAACAGAATTTTAAGAGTTATAATATTTAAATGCAATTGAATGAAGAACCATTGAAAGTGCATTATTATTATTATTATTATTATTATTATTATTATTATTATTATTATTATGCCATCCACCTTTTAAAAGCCTCTTCTTCTACCATGTCTGAGGGTGGTAGGCTCAGGAGGGACAGAGCAGGCCATGTTGCTTATATACTGTAACTTTGTTACCCTAACACCTGGCTTCTATTTACTAGCAGTTACTACTCTCCACTCACATCATAAACATCTACAACCTGAAATGTCTGCAGCCTTGAATTTAAGCACAGGGTCAGACAGCTCTGATTTCATTTTGCTGAATGATTCTTTTGCTAGCACATAAACATCCAACATACATTTTGTTTCACACGAGGGAGGACCCCCCCCCCCATGCCATTTCACAAGCAATATGATGAAACAGGAGATGCGAGGGGCAACTTTTTCACATCACATGCCACTCCAGCACAACAACACTTTCCCCATCACATGAGGGAAGCTTCACCCAAATAGAAGTGCTGGCTCCAAATATTTTACTATATTGCGTAAACTAAGCTGTTTTAAACGTCTTTTAAAATACAAAGGGTGGATAAAATATCTGAATTCTTGCTGAGCATTAGTACTTCAGGTTGAGTATCCCTCCTCTAAGAAGCTTGGGACCAGAAGTGCTTTTGGATATTTTTTACATTTTGGAATGTTTATATTTGCATACATATACATAATGAAATATCTTGGAGATGACAGCCAAATCTAAACATGTACACATTACACATAGCCTGAAGGCAATTTTATATACAAAACTTAAATAATGTGGTGCATGAAACAAAGTTTGTGTATATAGAATTATCAGAAAGCATAGATGTTCCTATCGCAGTCACACAGGTGGACAATCTTAGATTTTGGAATATTTGGATCTTGGAATTCTAAATAAGGGATGCTCAACCTGCATTTTGAAAAGACACAAACACAAGAAATCTCTTTGCAACAGAAAAAGCTATTTTTTTCTTTTAAACTGAAATAGGATGCAGTCCCGTATCTACAGCCTTATGTTCACACATCACTTCTAACTAGAGATATAAAGAATTATATTATTACCCATTCATTTTGCCCATCTCTTTATGTCTGTCTTCTGTTTTATATTAAGAGCTGCAAGCATTTATTTCTCTAATCAGTTGAGAAATCAAGCAGAGTTTTAATTGATTCAGTCATAGCATCATTGGCACAGGCAAATTTTAATTAATGGGGCTGAGTGTTAAGGGCTTGCTTGTCTGTGTTTTTGGAGTCTATTTTTGATCCTAATATAAAAGGAGAAGAAATTAAAGAATTCCTATCTGGGATAACTTTTGTTAATTAAATTGCTTGTTATCTTATGTTTTCTTCAGTCTCAAAGAGACAGCCATGTTGACATTTTGGTGTCATGTAGGTATATTTAAATTTCATTGATTAATTGGTTTCAAAGACTGGTGAATTAATCAAATAGGTGCTTTTACTTTGTTGACAGGCCTGGCTATATTAAAAAGATACAGTAAGATGCTGATCTTGTGCAGGCCAAGGAGAAAAAAATGGAGCATTGATTAGATAACTATTTCTTTTTTAAAAAAAATGAAAATTTGCAATGAGCCATTACTTTTGTTGATCATTTTTGGTTTCTTTGTGTTGATGTTTTATTTCCTTTTTTTCCTTTTCCTAGTCCTCTCTTTCAAAGTTCCTTTCTTGTGAAAGGACATGGAGTGCACAAAAAGAAGGGTGCCATTTATCTATGTATTTTCCTTTAGAGGAATTGGAAAAAGGAAATCTATATGGGGAGTGAAAGTTTATAGGAATGGGCTTGCTTGATTGTAAAAACACATAGGCCTGATTTTCAAGTTTGCCTTTTGAGGTGGCAATCGCAAGATAATTTTACCTTGTCAGTTTCACATGGTAAAATAATCCCTAGCAATGTGCTCTCCTATGGTGACAGCTGGTATTTACTAAATCAGGGGGAAAGCTTGCAAATGGACGTGGTAACTACTAGCTGTCACCACGTGGGGGTGAATTCATAAGAAATGTTTGCCATGTGAAACTGACAAGGTGAAAACAATG